CATGTGCTCCAAATCGAGCGACAGTTCTGGCCGCGGCCACACCAGCGGTAACTTCTCGCAGTGTGATGGATTTGCGTCCATAGCTAGTTCGAGGCTGGTAGACATCAAGTCACCCTCCGACGGGTGCTGTGTCGGAAATTAGTGCTCGCAAGAAATAAGCGAGCATCTTCACACAAATGAAGTAACCGCTCAACATTATCATTACGGGAGTCTATACCATGTTGGCCGCCCACATGCAGTTCATAAGTGGATAATTTTCCAGCTTGCGCGTTCGGATCCCCAGCCAGCACAACAGTGTCCGAGCCTCTTCTGTGGCGAAGGAGCACGTTCAGTTGGCGGTAGAAGTCGTTTTTTTTACCAAATCATCGCTAGAGTTTGTGAGTGCATAGGCATCGATGACGAATAGACACCTGTTAGTTCCGCGCGACTTCGAAGTTTTGAACGAGCCAGCCAATCGGACCGCACACATCCGGTTACTGATTGGGATCCGAAGTCTGTGTAAGCGAACATATGTTTTCGGTAATTCTTCATCAGGCTTGTACAATTACATGAAATGCAAACTTTTAGTATACAGACCCAACGGGTCGTCAGTCAACCAAATTGATCTTAGTGCGCTGTGACACACCTTCGGTTAGGTTACAGTTGTGTTCGTACGTGCGTACAGGTCAACTGCAGTTCGTCCTGGCCAAGGTAGGCTCAACGCGTGAGTGAACCGTTTCTGCGTGCACAGTGCTGGTTCGTACAGCCGAATGGCGATGGCTTCTGCGGCGTCTACTATCCGCTTACGGAAATACCTTGATCGATTTTCTGGGGCCTGATAGATTACTTTGAAGGAGTCAGCCAACTTGGTGGCGTGACCCGTATCCGCAAGATGCGTGGCGATGGCAGAGTTGGTGACCTTTCGGCCTCCATTTCCGAGCCAGGCCGGATGGTGTTCCTTCACCCTTTCGGATAAGCGTCTTGTCGTACGACCAACGTATCCTGCCCCACAGGAACGGGTAAATGAGTATACACACATTGATTTGGTGTGGACAGGCAGCTTATCCTTGAGGTTTAGTCTCACCATTGGGCTGCTGGTGAACCGGATTTGCAACCTCGCCGCTGGGAAGGTATTCCTGAGTGTGGACGTGAGACGGCGGGATAGATTCTCGGACACTATTTCCCCTTTGTAAGGCAGTTGTAGGAAGATAGATTTCCGTTCCGCCGTCAGGAATATAGGTGCTTCCCTGTTTCGCCCCATATTCGCATTAATAAAATTCTCTGGGTAGCCATTCTCTTTTAGTGTCGCTCTTATTAGTTGCAGCTCTTCGAAAAGAGTATCCTTCGAGCAGATTCTTTCGGACCGGTTCACGAGACTGAGGACCAAGTTTCTCTTAATTCGAAGCGGCACAAAGCTATGAAAGTTTGTGTACTGTCCATTGCAAGTGCACTTTCGGTAAACGCTACGTTTTATCGCACCATCTTCAAGTCTTTGTAGCGCTACATCGAGAAAATGGAAAGCGTCGTTTTCTTCTACCTCGTAGGTGAATTGTATAGCCTTGTGAGCTTGGTTAAATACGCTGGTGAGCTTCTCGATGTTACCGGAGGTGTCAAGTAGGACGAAGATGTCATCTACGTAACGGTGATATAACGTGAGGCTACTGATGACCGCTTTCAATTTACCCTGTTCCAACATACCCATGAAAACATCAGCGAGGAATGGTCCTAGCGGGGAACCCATTGCAACTCCATCGCGCTGTCGGTATATATCCCGTTGAATAGGAACTGAACATTAAATGTACACCTTAGCAGTAATTCTTTCAGTGCCAGAGTTGGTATGCCAATATTAAGATGGTTCTCGTCAACAAAGTTACAAATGAACTCAATCGTTTCAAATAAAGGCACATTCGTGAACAATGAGGTGACATCTAGAGAGCACATAGTTTGGTTCTTGATGTTGACATCACGCACGGCATCTACAAACGCAAAAGTGTCCTTTAGGGTATGTACAGCGACCCGTCTACGTACTGGCTCAAGACGTTCCACCAGCCAACGAGCGATCGAGTGGTATGGAGAGTTTCTCATGTCCAAAACCGGGCGAAGAGGACAGGTAGGCTTGTGGGTTTTGGGAAGGCCGTAAAGCCTTGGAATAACCGTGCCCACGGGGCGTAGATTTTCATAGACCGATTCGCTGATATAACCACCATTCTTAAGCTTTCTGAGACAGACGCACAGTTGATTTTCGATCTGCTTTGTTTTGTCTCGCTCTCCACTCATTTTCAAGAATTTCGTATTATCTGCCAGTATTTCACCCATCTTGTTGAGATAGTCTGCTCTGTTTAGGATAACAATGCCGGCGCATTTGTCTGGACGTGTGAGCAGAATTTGATCGTTCCTAAGTAGTCGCTGCAGTGCTTGCACATGCTCATGTTTCACCGGTGTGTTGTACGTAACTCGTGCACGCCGATATTGATAACAGGCATGCACCAACAGGGATTTCAACTCTTCTGCATGCGATTCAGAAGTTGGGATCAGTTGCGAAGTCTGTGTGTGTAAAATCCCACACCCATTGCACACTGATTCACCTGGTCTGACGAGGCCTTTATTTTATTGGCGAAACGTTACCAAAAATACTATACCAACCGATTGTTTCCAAACCTCTCTGAACTGTGTGTAGACGTTTTCGAACTGTGCCTCTATTGCCAGTCTGTTATGTTTGCTAGTAGGGAGACAGAACTTTGGACCCAATGATAAGACTTCAGTAGTGGTACGATCAAGCGGGAAAGCAGACAGATTTTGGACGTATTTCTCAGGTTCGGCCGGGAAAGTCGATGTGGCTCTCTCTTTCTTTATTGTCTTTGTGAGTGAAGTGCGTAACTTTGCTTCTTGCTTTGTGATAATTGCTTTAATCGTTTCCTCCAGCTCTTCCTGATCGCTTGCGGATAGGCTGGTTGAGACAGCACTCACTTGGCTCAGTGCACGCTTGAGTTCATCTCTCTTGATGCGAATGGTGTCTATCTGACACAGCGCAAGACGTTTCAGGCATTTATCGTCTGGCCTGATGCGTGAACGACGAAGAGATCTCCAGTATCTCGTTGGGTAGCTATTGTTTTCGACACACGTTTTGAGGAAATCGAGACACACATCCGCCTTCGCGATCCTGACTTTGAAGCTCACATATCTATTGTGCAATTTCAGAACAGGAGGGTCTACGCGACGTTTAATTGAATGGAAAAAACCCATTGATTGATCAGAAGTCTGCGTAAGCGAACATTTGTTTTCGGTAATTCTTCATCAGGCTTGTACGATTACATGAAATGCAAACTTTGATGATTGGGATCCAATCAACCAGAGTAGCTTCAGCCCGAGGACTCAGGGGAATACGCACACCAGCTTTGCCGTTGCTTGATGCTGCCTCGTCACGGGATAGGCGCAATGAGAAAGTGCTGTTAGTGTCACCTGAAGGGGATCGCAGAGTGAGCACAGAGCTCAAGTCTTGCAGGCGCATCTCCGATAAGCAGCAGATGTAGATCGATAGGGTCTCTAATGTTCGGGCAAGTGCTGCCTGTTGACCGATCTGTAGTAGTGTGCGTACATTAAGGCATGCCAATCTGAAGGAGGATCGAGGGCTCCAAATGGAAGCGGATGAATTTGGCTTGACCTTGTGCATGGAAATGTACTTGTCGACAGGGCAGGTACGACGCTCCGCGTTCACATGTGAGTTGAAACCAGAAGGTTAAAACCTATCAAAGCAAGATTGGAGAGGGCCAAGAATTGGGAGTTTGAAAACATGGGGGTAAATGTGAAGCTGGAACGGGACTGTAAGAGTGAAAATGCGTAAGAGGGGGAATAAGAAGATGGAAAGTCTTGAGCAGTAGCATCCAAACCCCTATCCACCCTGCTCGATGCAGCAGGAGACAGGAGAACGATTAGTGTTCTCAAGCAGAAACCTGACCACAAGGCAGCGGGTTTGGCGTTAGGCTACAAGGAGTCCCCGTTACGGAATATGGAGCCAACCTCATTCCAACCCTCAAGCTGGAGTACTAGGAGTATGAGTTTGTCTGGCCTCTAAACATTGATCAATCTGGCATGAGCGTCTCTGAAGGTGTAAAACAACATCCAGCATAGCTCAATGGATCTCTGAAGCAAGCAAATCATTGCACCACGGTAAGTTCCAGCCTCATTGCGATGGACTAAGCCACACCTCCACTGTGATATTATTTATCCATGTACTTTCGAGTGTCCCGTTTCAACCGGTATAATTATTAGTAAGCTGTTTAGTAATTGAGAATATTCCATGGTGTTTCCGAACTCGTCAAGACATCTGTTACATGTTGGTGCTTGTCTCATTCCAGTCTAAATTACTCCCGGTTGAGCAGCTACTGTTGAAAAACCGAGAGCGAGTTATCCCTGATCGTAACGCTTTCCCCAGGTTCTGCATCACGACTGGAACTCCCATTTCTTTCTTCTTACCTTCCGCGTAAGTCGAAAACCGCTCTTTAAAGCGAAGTAACCTTAGGTTCACGCTCCCAGACTTGAAATGCCTCCAATACCCCGTGGTTTTATCATGTGTGATTCCACGCGCTCTCCTCATTGGTAGTGCAGTTCGCTCCTGATGTTTCCCGATCCCCTTCTGGGAAACCACCACTTGGTTGCAGTCGGCGAACCATATCGCGAATCACAGTGACCTGCAGACTAATTCTTTCACTTACTAAATACAACACGAGTGCTTCACCCAATTTACCTGAGCGCAAAATCTTATTGTTTTCTCGCACTACTACGCCCACTCAGTTTAAAGGCGGCAAAGCGTTGCGCAAATAATCCCCTTACTGACTACATATACACTACTTCATTCATAGGGTATTTTGGATGATTGAGTGGTTGAAAGTGCGCACGTTCTAATGTACAAATGCTTTCTTGCTACTGATTATCTACGCCTGTCAGTGTTTCACTTAGTTTCCGAATGCTTGTCTACTCACAATCCGAGCTGATATACACCGAACCAACGAAACCAGTAAACCACACCCATTTGGTGGCCGTTGAAATAGCACACCACACCATCGTCCATGCTGAGCGGCCACCGCCTAACCAGCTTGGTTATGCAACGGCCGAGAGACACATCCTCACTTTAGGTCGGATTTCCTGATACCCCCATTTGGCTGATTCCAAGGTCAAACACAACCGGTCAATCGGGCGGATCCGCGCATATGTTTGTCTTCGCTCAGGTACGATCGGATCAGCGGCTTCATCGGCTTAGCGCACCTGATGACCTTGAAACGCGAGAGGTGTACATGGATCGACGTTGCGGACACGGTTAGCTGATCTGGCCCTTGGCACGTCTGACCAATCAGCGAGCAGAGAATGGCTTATCCGTTTAGCATTCGATGGTGGGACAGACATATCCAATGACGTGCAGAATTACGTAAGAATCCACACGCAAGTCAGGCCGACATGACGGTGTGGCGCGCGTGCACTTGGTCAATCCAATCATGCTGTCCTCATAGTGATCAATCGGGTTTGCTGTCTCCATTGGTGGAAAGGCCGAACTGACGTTCGCTGAGTGAGGGTGAATACGAGCAACAGCCTGCATCGACTGACTGGTTGTCCGACCGCTAGGCAGTCCAAGCCGGCTATTTTCTCGACTTATTTTTTGGTTGATGATTTTCCGAGAATCCTTATTTTACTACTGGTTTGGCCCGCCTTGCACATGTTTTGATGTCGGAATTTTCTTCTTCAACTAGGGTCGTCCACACCCAAAGAGATAATGAGCGGAGCCAGTGAAAACGCAGACCCATTGGCAACCCTGGGGGCCTATATTCACTTGAATGAGGACGACTGGTTACAGCTGTTGCAGAAGCTGACTCCCTCAAGTATAAATAACCTGCAGCAAACCCTCAAGCGGATTCAGCAGCAAGAATTATCTACACCGGCAACAGATGGGGTGAACCTCCTCCCCACTAGTTCTCAGCCATGTGCGTCTTCGTTACCTACTTCTACCCTACCCGAGTCAGCAGTGTCCCAGCACCAAGGGACACCGACAGTAATGTCAATGGGAATACCTAAACCTACTATGCCATCTGTGATTACCGTTCCTCCTGTGTTAAATGTGTCAAGGCCCGCTCCTTCCTCGATGCACAACGCAATTGTGCTTCCGTCTTCGGCCCTCCTGATATCACCTTCGGAGCCTGGCCGAACGCTCTCAATTGACCCACTTGTTTCCGTTTCCGGGATCAATCGGTTTGTAGTTACTGGGGACGGTCTGATCGCAGCGCCTCCTGGACCATCTGCAACTGTTGCCGCCGGAGATACATTTAATAGCCTCAATACACTGGCAAGTGCGGCAGTTGCTGTGGCTGAAAATGCATCCAACCAGGTAGGTTGTTCTTAATCAAGCCGTACTAGGACTTGCGTAGTTTCTTTTGCAGGACACGAACCTTTACTTGTCACTCGCCTCATCAACCTTTTTGTGGGTCAAGAGCACCGCGGCGTATTTGAGGGTACACAAACCATCTGTGTAGCCTGAAACGCCGGTTTCTTTTGCTCAATTTGTGTCTTTCCCTTGCGTTAGTTAGGAAAAGATTAAGTGCATCGCGCTTTTACCGTCTTTCCAGACTACACTATTCTGGTCCATCTACAGTTGGTCCTAGACCACTTCCAATTCCTTTTACTCGTAACTGACATATAGGTTCACTCCTAACCCGGTTTACGGTGTTCCACACCCACATACTCTAATTAGAGCATTCAGCAGTATCAGTTCGCCTCCGTTTACTTATACCTGATTCAGTGCCTTCGGGATCTGTTACCTATGGTTTCTTTCATCCATTATCTGTGCTTCCTCTGCTTGCGTTGTTTGTCTGCTACGTTAACCGATCTCGTTTCACATGTCTCCTAAAGATTTACGTTTACACCATTTGACCAAGTAAACTTGTTCTTTGAGGATTTTAAGGCTATTCCAATCCATTAACACTAAGCAAGCATGTGTACGGCTTGACGGTTTAAGGAAAGGGATACGAAGCAAACACAGGTCGTTGCTAGCTGAGCGTCAATACATGAACCGTTGTAGACATGAATACGGCCACTGCTCGGGTTTTCTGACAGATGCGCTGCACTTTTCTGAGCCGTGCTAAATTGTCATCGTACGGATCCAATTGGTGACTACCGGTCCGAAGCTCCCCTTCGCCTCCATTGTTTCTCAGAGCTACATCGTGCACCCTGTGCACATAAGCGACCATGTGCCCATTTCAAATATACTGTGTCCACATCTCAGTATCTGTATTGGTTACTGTTAATCTTTTTGTCAGTTTATCCTCTAGTACGAATCCTGGCGTTCCTAACCATCGAATGCTCTCACTTGACCTAAACTGGACTGATTTCATATCATCGCGTTGCTCATGTTTCTCCCTGTTTCATGTGGATGCTACCGATGGAGGCCTCCTTTGTGTCGGAAACCTTGATAAGCGCTGTATTACATTTATGCAGTGGATAGAGAAACTTTCCCCTGAAGCAACAGCTCGGCATGTAACTGGCTGTAGAATCCATTTACTGCAACCATGTGGGTCTTCTCCGGTTCATTTCACCCGTTAACGGCTGCACTCTTCCTACAATTGTACCAACGATTGTCCTATCGCCCCAGAAACCTGTTAGGACACTGGTAGTGCTAAACGGGCTAGTTGTCGAATTGTCAGATGATTTCCCCACTACGTCACCGTGCCATACAACTGTGTCTCATTCTATGTTCAAGTTTCGTTTGCTCAACCCTTAATGTGCTCCGCCTGTGTGCTTAGTTACGATTTCATCTGCGTGTTTATCTCAGTGATCATGACTCCACTAATTGATCTAACCTTGCGCTCATCAAATTCCAAGCGAGGAAATCGCTGTCTGCAGCCCGATGCGAAATGTGAATTTTTGACATAACTTCGGTAAACACCTGTTTTTTTTTCGTTTTCAACTGCTCCAAATATCATTGACAAGTGTTCGCCTAAGTTTGACTGACCATGTTTGCTGGGGTTAGGTTTCATTTGCTTGCCTCTTTCGAAGCATTGTAGTTAGAAGGTACCCGTCCAACTGGTTCTCGCACTTGATATATGTTGCTCAAATTGACGAGGTGCACAATACCTCTTCACCTCCACAGCCGAAGCTGTGCATATATGTTTATATGCACACCAATAAATGTGCGTGCGTTGATATGCATTTATATACAGCAATTATCATGCTACTGGCATAAAGCTACAACATAAGTAAAATCTACTAGGGGAAAGGGATGTTGATATGTTCTTGGTGTTTTTCAATCAACTGCAGTGTCAATACACGGAAGGTGAGAAGATAAAGAAGCACTGATGGAAGATATATCTCCGGATAGGAAAATCCGGTGAGATTGAGTGTAGTACAATGGAAAGGAAAGAGCGTCTCGATCCAGGATAGAATTAGTGATGAGCTGAAATGAAGGAAAATGTAATTGTAGTTAAGGAACATAGATATCAACAAAGAGGGTTGATTCTTTCGGAGGTAGCCCTCCTTGCAGATGTTCTTGCGGCCCTTTGGTCCCCAACCGGGGAATTGGGAGCGTCTTACCGCGGCGAACTTTGTGGGTATTGTCCACAACTTGACTCCAATTCGTGCGTTGAACATTCTGCCGACATTTCCGGACATCCCCATTGCACAAAGGACACGGTGAGATAACCACTTGGTAGATAGATAACGCATATACCTAAACCATCGAAGCATGCAGCATGAAATTGTCCGGCTCAGCAGTCACTGGATCCTGTCTGGTTTGAAAATCCGCCTATGGACGCCATCTTTACCAGTATTGCCGTCGTACACTGACAATGTTCCAAAGGCTGCGATTGTCAAAGTCAAACATCCTCTGATCTGTTTGTCTAAACTAGCCAAATTTTGTTACCATTAAGCAAAAAACACTCGTGTCGTGGCATCACCCACGATCTTTGAGATGATCACACCGTTATCATAGGTGATGTGGGTTTGTTAAAGATAACCGAACTGTGGAAATGTGTCGAGATTCCATCTTCCTATCTACCAAAGCGCAACCATTTCCCGGGGTAAACGTTCCGAATGCGCTTAAAACTGTTACTCGAAGGTTCGGAGTAAATGCAGCTTCTTGTCGATGCTTCATAAAGGCCTGATACTTCGTTGACTGTAGGCCATTCAGGTGGGATGGACATTCCCGAACTAGGCGGCATATTTCTGTTACGGACAGTCAGCGTTCAGGCCGAGAGCAGTGCCGTAACAGTGGATCGATCCACAATTATCGATCAAACGCGAATATAGATCAGAATGCGAATCTATGATGAATCCACGGCAAGTCGGACCACGAACTTGAACCGTTTGAGTTGTGTTTATTAAAATTACTTAGCATCTCCAATTTTGTTGTGTTAGTGGTTTCCTACAACCTATTTATTGCACCATACTCTCATACAATAGAATCAGAATCCGGATCCTTCAAACCGGCTGGTCTTGGTGTTCTCATTTCGTGGCGGGTTGAACTGGTTGGAGGCGGCACAGCAGATTCAGGCAGGTTATCCGTAAAGTCAGCGGAAACCACAACACATTTCTGGCAACGGTCAGCTGCACGGTAGCAACAGGTTAGCCGTACAATCAGAGGTACCACAGCAATTTCGGACGATTGGCGATGAACGGTAAATTTCAGCAGTCGTCAGCGTGCTTTAACTTAGGAATTCAGTCACCCAGAAGCAGCTCAACTCCACTGAGCCAGCAGTTTTGCATAACCCCCTACAGAGTGTCACCCGTATTGAAATTGACTAAGCTTAAGGGGGCTAAACAACTGTCTTGCGCCACCTGAAATCCTGAACGAGGTTGGACCGTGGGCTTAAAAAAGATGTTTGCTTGCTCTTGATGCGTATCGTATCTCATCGGTGTCTCGGAAAAGCAGCTCTGTCGACTCAGACAAACGCCGCTAGTATCTTTACGAAGCAGACAATCGTTGGCCTAACGAGCGTTTGACGCTACCCAAAATTTTTACGGATCGTGATGTAATAAGTACAAGTCCGACCTGAGCGGAACCCAGCTTGCTATTCACGTTGCACTGTTTGCGTACCCGACTGAGCCTTTTTATGAGCCGAGTGGTCGGCTTTGCATACAATATATATGAGTCTCGTCCTTCCGTGGTTTACGCTTCCCACCAGTTCATTTTTTTTGAAAACAGGCATAATCTACTCCAAACAGATTTAATGGGACTACCGTTGTCCAAGCCTCTTGGAGTTAGGAAGTTAATTCAAAGTTGTGAGATTGCCCTCCATTTTTGAAAAAAAACCGGGAGAGTTTGCCTGGAACTAGGAATTTATGGCTTTTCGAACGACAGAACTCACTGATGACCCCATCCTAATATATTGGTGAAACACTTGCGCTTCAGAGTCCATGCTGGCGCAGTCCAGTTTGTGGCTGATGAGCGCTCGAATTACAGCCGAAATTAGGTCGTGCAATTTTTCTCGGCCACTCGTCAGGCACTCAGAAAAGAGTCAGCTTTTCCTCATACACTTCTCTTTTTCAGCTCTCCTATGTACGCACTTCTAATCACATTTCGCAGTATCGTGAGTGGCCCAGTTGAGTACTGTCTCGTACGTTTGCGTAAAAAGTACTAAAATCTTATTCAGTTCTGCAATCGCAGTGCTACCACTGTGGTTCCCTAAAGCATAACTCAATGATGCCGGTGGCAAGTTGAACTGCCGTTCGAAGTACTCCATCCACCATGCGGATGTAGCCGTTCCTTTACGTTCGTGTGTTCTCATGCCTCGGCTAGGAGACGGGCTCCTCCATAGAACGCCACTAGCCCGATCCTTTCACTAGTCACTGTGCTGCTGCTCCCCCCAACACCAACATGTGGTCGATGCTGTCGGCATGCGGTTAACTAATCGCACTATCCAGGATTGCAGAGAAAGGAGCTGTCTGTCTCTTTCACTCGACCCTCGCTGTCAAATCTTTACGCTACTCGGAAGGCGCTTTCACACATCGTCATCAATTGCCACTGATAAAGATCCCATGTTTATCGCGAGTGCCAACAGACCAGGCTTTACAGTTGTATGCTAGAAGCGGCTGACCTGTACTGTTGTAGCTGTACTGTTGTGGCTGGTGTCACATTGATGCAACGAGAGACCGGTTAGTAAGGACATCAACTCCTTTCGAATGTGCGAAGAAGTCCCATTAGATAGACCAGTGGCGGTAATGTTAGGCAAGTTAGTTTTTTACTTTCAGCTAAGAGAAAGAAAGTCGACTTGAGTGGAGGGACTTGGGGACACAAGTCATCCTAGTCAAACGTTGCGTTCAACTGTTATGTTAGTACTTTCGACGCCTTCTGAATGTGCTAACTGTCAGCAGTCTATCTCCATCCGTTTTCTAGCT